AAAATGTAATTAAAAAAAAAATGTTGCAACTTGGAGGCTGCACATTTTTACATTTCCAAAACATTATTTGACATATTTGCATACATAAGATTGAGAAATAATATATAAAAAAAATGGGAAAATTAAAATCCATTTTGTCCCTATTCTCAAGAATCACTGAATGATTATGAAAAAAGTGGCACGTGGGCAGTAATGCTCAACAAAACCACAGGGAGGCAATAGTGCAAGTTAAACCGCTGGTAAACTCCGAAAGAAGAAGAAGAGGAAGTCCATGTTTTCCAGCATGTCTGCGATTGGGATTCATTTTGGTTATACTTGTGCCTGTGTGGCCGTGTTTAAGGTGAGCGACTCGCAGTCTTTTACCACCTAAAATCTTTCAGAGCTGAGCTCCACGCTGCTTTTCGCGGGGAGGACGAGCAGTGATGTCAGTTCCGGAAATGATGGATGGCGTCGTGGTAAAATGTAAGCGTTAGCAGCAGCAGTCTAGTGGTCGTTCAGAGAAGAAAAGAAGTTGGGAGAACCAAGAGGCTAGAAGATCAGAGAGGAGTGAGGGGGTCCAGGTGTGTGGAAGACCGGCCAGGTTCAGCTCAGAGGGAAGCTATATAATGTGTACACGCTAACAGTTACACACGTCGACGAGGTCGCCATGTTGGGAGGGTAATGCTGTCAGTCACTGATCCAGAATCTGTAACGTTATTGTTACCTCTACTTTTTAATAAGGAATTTAACTTATTATGTTAATGTGTTATAAATTAGGACACAACTTTTTAATTTTAATGTGCTTAAAAAAATAAACCCAGGTTCTTAAAAGTTGAACCTGGATAACAAACCTATAATTTGTGATCCTTAACAGCTTCCAGCTGTTAAGGATCATTCAGGAAGTTCTGTTTCCTGAATGATCCTTACTATTTATATATTTATGATTCTTCTATAATATATATGATGATGTTATATGTTCTACACATTCATATTTATACTTTTAACACTACCTATAATGACATACATATTTATTAGAATCTGCATTATTTACCAAGTTTGTGCACACAGAATAAATTTGACTTCAGTTCTGCTTTGCTCTCAGTGAATGCATTTAACATATATACATGTGTGTGTGTGTGTATATATATATATATATATATATATATACACACACACACACGCAAGTCATACTCTGTCGCGTCGGCCTGAAGATAAAAGGCTGAAAAGTTTGTGTCTGGGATGTGTGGGGTCAGCAGAGATTTAAGATTTCCTTTGCCTGACCCTTGACCTGTTCCAGTCCTGGATGGAGGGCTAGTCATTCCTGCTGACCCTCTCTACAGTTGTACCTGTCCTGTTTGTGGATGAGCCAAACCACACAGTTCTGGACAAACAAGGGATAGACTCTATGTAGAAGATGACCAGCAGCCACTATATTGTGTACAATGTGTCCATAATCATGTTCAATGTGCAACTGGAATATCATCCAGCAGTGTGCAGGCCAGGGCTCCACTTAATCCCTAGAGCTGATTAACTCATATCTTTTCAAATCCTCGTCCTCTTTACTGTCGCTGCCTCCTGTCAGCGTACTCTACCCTGTTCCCCTTGCTTTGGTCTCAAAAGCTTGGCTCACTAAGCTCATAAAACCTCATTGTATAAAAGTATTTTTTGTCATCAGATTATTTCATGAAATGTACTCGAGCTACACTTCTGACAGGGTCCCCCCAGTGTGTTATAAGCCTGCCGGACCCTGTAAGGACCTCCCTCCACGTGACTGCTGCCAGTGTCCTGATGGCAGTCATGCCAGTTGTCTTCTTTGTTTCCTGTTTTCATTTTTTGTTTTAATGAAGTAAAATGTGTGTCTTAGGAGGGGCGTGCTGATGTGGTGGCTAACGATGCAGGAGACAGAGTCACTCCAGCTGTGGTGGGCTACAGAGATACTGAGCAGGTGAGTCTTTTAGTTCTGCTTTTCATTTTACCAATCTTATTTACTCTCCTAAATTTATTGCCAACAGAATCCTTTTTGTGTCTTTTCTGGCGTTCTGAAGCTGTCATTCTTGTTAATTCCATGTGGACTGTTTGTTCGTTTGCAGATTGTGGGAATAGCAGCAAAGCAAGGTCAGGTCCGAAATGCGGCCAACACAGTTGTTAAGGTGAAGCAGGTTCTGGGGAGAAGGTAGGTCACCAGAGGAGTGTTTTGTTGCAGCTTATGTAGCTTCGGTAGAACAATGGCTCTGATCAGACCTGCAGGCCAAAATCTGAATTATTATTAAATGTGTAAAGCGACAGCAATCACTTTTTTTGACTTTTGTCTATTTTTTTTCCACAGACTTTCTTTTTTTAATGTATGTATCTAACAAAGGCAGATTTGTTAGACTCGTATCAACTATAAGTTATATATATATATATATATATATATATTCTCATTATTACCGTGGAAATTGTTTGTTTCCATAACAGAAACATCAACATACCATAGAAGAAAATGTATCAGTCCTCTGTTTGTACATGTTTTATGTTTTGTCTATTTAAAAACCTAAAACGGAAAACAACCTGCAGTTCTTTAGAAATTACTACAAATTTTCTGTTATGGATATTTACTGAACATTTTGAAGTCGTCTTTTCAGAGACGGTTATGTAACAGGCTTTATTTAGCTGGACTGAGGGGAAGAACGGCTCCTTGACAACAGCTCTGGACAATAATAGAGTTCTTTTCTCTGTCTTGATTTAGATTCGATGATCCTGTGACACAAACACACAAAACAGAGACCAAATGCCAGGTATGTTGTGGCAGTCACATTAAGAGAAAGAAGTCTAATTATGTATTTATTTTTTGGTTATTTCCATTATTTAAATGTTTCCATCATATGCCACTCTTCAACCCACATAAGAGCTAGAGTGACAAAAACATAAAAAGAAACAGGCCAGTTTTATCATCAATTATCATCAGTTGACTTTTGCTATAATAATGCTACTGTCATGTAAAACATCCCATCATCAGGCACACATTCACCTGGTTCCTTCTTTTTTTGACTGGTGATACATTTTCTTAATTATCATTATTTTTATTTCTTCTACCACTCTCTACTTGGAATAGGACTTTGGTTTCTTTCCGAAAATGCGCTTTGCCAACAGAGACAAAGCTGTGGCTCCATCTGACTTGTGGTTTGTGTGCAGGTTATCAACAGAGAGCAGATGCCATATTATGAGATCACCTGTGGAGAGCATACAAAGCTTGTGGCACCAGAGGATGTTGCAAAGCTCATCTTCAAGAAGATGAAAGGTAGTGTGAATTAAATGCACCCTGTCCGTAGAAACAGCCAATCAGATGACTTCTTTGCTTTTCCCCAGAAACGGCTCAGTCAGCTCTGGGCTCTGATGTGACTGACACCGTTATTACTGTTCCCTTTGAGTTTGTACATGCTCAGAAGCGTAGTTTGAGGTAAGAATATTTTATTTTCATTAATTTCTGTTTTATTACTATATTTCCCCCACCTTTATGGCTTTGAGGGACAAATGTATGGTGTCCATGTTTCTTTAATTGACAGTAGTACATTTAACTGCTGCAGTTTAGTAGGCAAAACAATCTGGAAGTTTTCTGAAATATGCTTCAAAACGTTGTTTTGCAGAGAGGCAGCTGAAGCTGCAGGCTTCCATGTTTTGAGGATGATCCATGAACCTGCTGCTGCTCTGCTGGCCTACAACGTGGGACAGGACTACTCCTCTGGGAACAGGTACAGGGTGGAAATGTCTGCAGAACGCCTGGAAAACAACAGAGGAAATGTCAAAAGGCTGATTAGACATCTATTTTAACAAGCAATTAAGCAGGGGTACCTAATAAATTGGTCAATTAGTGTGCCTCAACAGTCGTTCTTAAAAGCTAAATTGCTTTAGGCGTCACTGGCTGCTGCTCAGCCTTTTCATTTGTCTGAGCTGTGCTGAAGAGGTTCAGCTTACTGAGTCTGATCTGAATTCTAAATGAATCGTCTTCCTCCTGTGTAGAGTGAGTGTTGATGTTTGACCTTGTGGTTTTGTCTCAGTCACGTCCTGGTGTATAAGCTTGGGGGGACATCCCTGAGTGTGACGGTGCTGCAGGTGAATGGGGGTATGCTGCGGGTGGTCAGCACCCGGACGGACCACAGCATCGGGGGGGAGAGCTTCACCCAGGCCCTGGCTCAGCACCTGGCCTCCGAGTTCAAACGGTAGCTACCGTCACAAAGAACAACACAAGTCAGGTCCATTAAACACAGAGAAGAACATTCAGTTAATGGCTTTTTTTAAAGTTCTTTTTATCAGAATAATGCATATCAAGTATTTATTTCTGCTCATGTTGAAATTAACATTTGCTGAAATAAAAACTCAAAATGTTATATCAGACCAGCGATGCAGGATATTGAATCTTCATAGTGTGAGTTTCACTTTTAGATTCTTATGACCAAAATAATTATCTTCTTGATAATTTGTAAATTATGGGTTTGTATCTTTGCTATCTATGCTAGGGTTAAATCTTGATGGGTTAGTGAGCTAATAATAGAAATATTTCAAATCAATAAGAACATGTGCATCTCAACTTCATCACCAGTTCATCTGGACTGGAGAGTCCAAATGTTCCCATAATTCCAGATAGCATTTGCATAATGTAGAAAATATTGAGAGTTGCTGTATAAACTGGGAACCTCTTTTCTCTGGACTGTTTTTCTCAGCCGTCATGGCAGCCCGGCTGTTGCACAGGAAGGCAACAGCCGGGCTGTTGCCTTCCTGTGCAATTCCATAAAAATATTCTGGTTTACAGACCAGTTTGGGCTTTCTCCCATTCACTTGAATTTCTAATCAGCAAACAGAAGGACTGAATGATGATGTTGATTTTCTGCTCTGTTTTAGAATCGTAGTCTGCCTGTAGTTTTAGTGATGACAGTGAAGGAAGCTGTTCAGTCCATGCTGGTTACACTTCCAAATATTAAATTAATATTAACAGCCACCTCATTTGGATTGACCCTTCTCTGAGAGTGCAAAAAATTTCTGGTAAACTGGTGCACTACATACATCACATGCAAACATTAGCGACTAGGTAAAATGTAAAACTTTAACAGAGTCCAGGCCTCCAGAATGGAATGGTTTTTTAGTAAGTCCAGTAGCAAAGCGTTGAACCAAGCTGGTTTTCACTGGGCTAAGATGTCTGTGTTGTTGTGCAGAACCTTTAAACACGATGTGAGCTGTAACCCGCGGGCCCTGCTGAAGCTCATGAACAGTGCAGACATGGCCAAGCACTCTCTGTCCTCCCTGGGGTCAGCCAACTGCTTCGTTGATTCCCTGCATGACGGCGTAGACTTTGAGTGCGCTGTTTCTAGGTGAGGTGCCAGCGAGGGCGTTTCATCTCGATATTTGTTTCATTTCGTTACGGTTTGACCTTTTGGTTTGTTTCCTACAGAGCTCGATTTGAGCTGCTCTGCTCCACACTGTTCAACAAAAGCATCCAGCCAATCAGGTCGCTGCTGGACGAGGCGGGACTCTCTGCTGGAGACATCAACAAGGTAAGACAGGTTGACCCAGGCACAGCTTCATGCAAAGCACATCAAAAAATAACAGGTTCATTTTGAGAGGAAAAATAAAATGTTCTGATGTACTTCAAATATTATATTAATTTTGACCTAATTAATTAAAAACCCAATTATGGAAAAATGATCTTGTATGGCTATCAGTTGCGCTTAAGACATTTACTGCTAAACCTGACTAGTACTTAGCTAGGTGTTTGGTCTGTTCATGCTGCGAGGCATTCAAAGTTGCACACTTGCATGCAACTTTGATTGTTTGCATGGTTGGATCCTAATAAGGATCCACTTCTCCTTCCACTAAACTTTCCACTCTGAAAAACCAGCTTGTTTACCAGCGACTGCCTGCTGAGCATCTGCAAATCTGAATTCTGGCATTTGTATTAGCTGAGAAACATAAATCATGGATATGAACATAGTTGGGCGGCCATTTTTGTTTTAGGTGGTTCTCTGTGGCGGATCGTCCAGGATCCCTCGCCTCCAACAAATGATCCGTGAGATGTTCCCGGACATAGAGCTGCTGAACTCAGCCCCTCCGGATGAGGTGATCGCCGTGGGAGCGGCCATGGAGGCAGGGCTTCTGGTTGGCCGGGACAGCCTTGCCCCGGAGGAGGAGTCTGTTGCCGTGGATGTTTCTGCTGCTGACATCCTCCTGAAGGTATCCTCATCTGTTTGAGTCGTCTGCACTGAGCCATCTGCACAGCATGGATGGCTTTCCCTTTGGAATATGACCTTTATATATATTACTATGTAGTGGATAAAATTTTGTCATATTGTGACAACATTCCAAAACAGAAATAGCAAGTTAAGTAGTTACTCATTTTCCCTCTTAAAATAGTGGAATCTATGGAATTAGCTTTTTTATCGTTTGAGATGTAAAATAAAGATATAAAACGAAAGACATCCTCTTTCATTCAGTTCTATAAAATGAGGATTAGGATGAAAATGTTCTGCTTTGTGCTGCAGGAAGTGGATAATTCAGGAGCTGAGACGTTTAGCGTTCTACTTCCTGTGGGAACTCCCCTTCCTGCTCGCAGACACCACACCTTCTCCGCCGAGGGCAGACTGTCCTCCCTCTGCCTGGAGGTTTATCAGAGGGTCACCGCGCAGCAGCCCCAAAAACTATCCAAGGTAATCAGAATTGTAGTTTTGTATTCAGGTGAGTTTTAGTACTTTGCAGTTTGATATTGCTGACTGAAAAAGTTTGCCACGCAACTGCACATTTTCACTGAAGGTAAAGAAAAATTGTGCAAATTCACGAAAATATTATGCACCATCTAAGTACTTGCACATGTTTGTGTTTAATATCCAGATTATTTTAAGAGACCTGCAGCCCAGTGAAGAGAACCACAGCATTGATGCTGTGGTCACCATGAAAAGGTGTGTGTCCTCTGAAGCATCAGTGTGCTCAGTTCAGTTCACAGTTGTGGAGAATTCTTGTCTGTGTGTTCCAGGGACGGTTCTGTTCATGTGTCATGTGCAGCGCAGAGCAGTGGGAAATCTGAGGCCGTCACCATAGCAGCAGCATCATGAATTCACTTCAGCGCCTTCCACTCCGTGTTGCAGCGCTCCTCCTGTTTTCTACAACTTAATAAACTAATGAAACCATGTGCAGCTGCTCGGTGCTTTCATACAGACACGAAATAATGCAGATCGCAAAAATGACCACAAGGTGTCGCACTTTGAAAGTTCTTCTAAGCAGATTTGAGAGTTGGGCAGTATGAGCAGGATTTGATGCTGGAACACATTCTGATAAAAATGAAAGTAAAGTTCTGGGGCCTCATGCATAAAAGACTGCGCAGTTTTGACACTAAAACTTAGAGTACAGAAAAATTTAGAAAAGTGCGGCGCACAAAAAAAATCGGACTCATAAAGCCGTGCGCACGCAGGTGGCCGCGCACCTTTCCTTTATAAATCCTAATTTGCGGGAAATAGAGCGCAGCTGCTGGTCCACCCTGTCGCCACCCACAAATGCATATGTGAATTTGTATAAATACCCGGAAGTCTGCCACCACGTGAAGCAATAACCATGGCAACGTCCTTGTTTGAGGCAGTTCAAGTATTTATAGTAATACTAATAATTATATATTTTATTTAAAAGGTGCTTTGAGGGCACATAATGTCACCTCACAAAAATAAAAATACATTTTAAAGACAAAAACAAATGCAAATAAAAAAAAATGAGATCGTGCAAATGCCTGTCTGAACAGTAGCGCGTTCAGCCGGGATTTAAAGACCGAGTCAGAGGGTCCTTCGAGTGGGAAAAGTGGACAATCAGAATCAGAAGAATTTTATTGTCATTGTCAGAAAGGCAACAAAATTGCAATTCCAGTACAACCATCCACAACACGAGGAGGAGAGGGCGAATAGTTGGCTGAGGCCTCGCAGCCCGACAGGCGCCGCCTTGCAGAGGAAATGAGGAAAAACATCAGGTAAGGAGAGGGGGGAAAACAGCCTGTTTCAAACTCTGCTCTTTACAGGGCACATATAAACACATAGACAAAACAAGCCGGGTACAAGGAGGAGGTGTGACGTGCATATGGGTTATGTGTGTCAGACCATGAACCCTAACTGAAGCACGGATTGTCTGTGATTGTGAGTATGATGTCGGAGTTCAGCACCAGCTTTATCAGTTCCAGGGCCCACAGATGTTCTCAGGGAAGGGGGGGCAGCAGAACCGAGCCTTCTTTAGACATAACAACCAGTTTATTCTAAATAGTAGAATCGTGTATATAAGTTGTACATTTGCAGAATAAAGATGCTTTATATGGCGCATTCACAAAGCGGGCGGCTCGACTGAAGGATGGCTGCAGCTGGCACAAGACCGGTATAGCAATCCTTCTTTAGTTTTGCTCAGAGATCCAGGATGATCAGTCTGAGCAATCTAAACGCTAATAAACCATCAACATTTCCCAGCAGATCAATATGATCTCTGAACAAACACTCCCTCTGAATCCTTCCATTGGGGATGTTCTCCACCAGAGCCAAAGGGCTCCACAATTATGCTGCTCACCTTTGCGCAGCTACTTATACGTGTGATTGTATACACACCTTGATCACCTTAAAAATAATCAAACCTGTTGGTTATTTTTAATCAGCAGGTTTGAGTTAATCTGCTGATCCAACCACGTTTTCTTTTTTTAGTGAGAAATAAATTACTTCGCAGATGCAATTCATGTGCTTCGGCTATGGACCAATGTGTTACATCTTTATGAGACAAAAACTGAGGAAAAGTACTATTTACATTCGAGCGAGGTTTTCACATCTATTTTTATTTTCTCTATTTTGTGTGCGTGTCAGCTTATTGTCTGAGGATAAATGCGGCTCATTTTCATCGTTTACCTTTTAGCAATAAAATATTAAAATCATGAAAAACATCGTTTTGGTGCTTCTTGACGCAAAGTTAATTTTTATACATGCCGACTTTTGCATAAAATATGGGACCGCACATTTTTTGTGCGCACGCACGCTTTGTGCATGAGGCCCTTGGTCAGGCTGTTTGTGGTTTTCATCAGCTGCGATCACACCGAGATAGAAACAATTGTTTCTGCATTTTATATGAAATAATTAGTTCTAAAAGTGGTTCTCTGGCTGGAAATAAGTGATGAGAAGAAACACTGCAGCACTGTGCAATCAAATCATTTATTCTGTCGTCAGAGTTACATAATTATATCTCTGAAGAAACCATTCACATTTATTGTAAAATAAACTGATGCAGATATTACAAAATATGTTTCTGCATAAGCTAATGTCTTGGAAATGGCCCGTTTAAGTAAAACAACAAAAAAAAGGATTAATTTTTTTTATTTATCCAGCATCTACACTAGATTGTGTGTCTTAAGTGTCACATCTAAAGAAAAGATTTTACCCAACTTTCTCATATTTTGGGTTGCTGATGAGAGGAGGGCACTCTTCTAGCTCACATGATGATGTTAAACCAGATTTGTTCTTAAACTGGGTCCAGGTCAGATTCCAATGGAATTACAGACTCACCTGTTTTTGTTAAAGCTATTACAGATCACCCTCCATCCAGTCATTTTCTGTACACCCTTGTCCCTAGTAGGGTCAGGAGGGTTGCTGGTGCCTAACTCCAGCAAATGTTTCAAGCGAGAGGTGGGGTGACCCTAGACACATCACCAGTCTGTTGCAGGGCAAACACAGACAGACAGGACATCTGTCTGTCTCATGCACACACACACTGACACCTAGGGAGAATTTAGAGACAAATTAATCTAACAGTCATGTTTTTGGACTGTGGGAGGAAGCCAGAGTACCTGGAGAGATCCCACCATGCACAGGGAGAACATGCAAACTCCATGCAGAAAGACCCCAAGCCAGGAATCGAACCCAGGACCTTCTTGCTGCAAGGCAATAGTGCTACCAACTGTGCCACTGTGCAGCTCATTGCAGATCACAATATTGTATTAAAATTGTAAATGGATACATTTTAAGTCACTTTCTAGTCAATCCACCCAATTGAATCATTTTACTCTGGAGACATGTTCACTCAGTCACACACAAATTTCTACACAGATATAGGCAACTTGGGGTTAAGTGCCTTGCACAGGGTCAGGATGTGTCAGGAAGAAAACTGCAACTGAACCCACAACTTTTCAGGATGTGAGTCAAGTGCCCTACCCTCTAACCAAAGTTTCCCCCAAACAAATCAGACAGGGTCCACTGGAGTTCTACAGTGAACCCTCCAGGGTTCAGGGTTCAATGGACTCTGAACCCTGGAGTTCAGGGTCCACTGAACTCCAGTGGACCCTGTCTATTTGTTCAGTATTTCTACGCCATGCTGCTTGACTCGCTGTCGGCTGGTGAGGCTTTAATCCTCAACTTGGCTGTCATATTCAAGTCCCGGCCCAATGACCTTTGCCCCACGTCTTCTCTCTCTTTCAGAACCTGCTCTCCTGTATGACCGCTCTCAAATAAAGGCCTCAGAGCTGATAAAACCTTATAAAAAGAAAACACCTGAAAATTGAAAGGTAAGTTATTAAATTTGTATTTTGACATGCAACATGTCTCCTAGACCTACATGTATTAAAACACAATCGAAACTAAATTAGACATTTTATTATATAAAACCAAACGAGTGGAAATCCCCAAACGTTCCCATGAGTGTGTGCCAAACCCAGGCCTGTAAAAGTGGTGCAGAAGCTCCGCCCAGGCAGATGGAGCTGTGAGAGGGTGTTCATCCAGATGAGACGGCATCCTGTTTGATGCAATGACATCAGCACAGTGTTCTGAGTTTAGACAGAAAGTGAAACTTTGTGGCAGAGTTTGATCCTTCATTGTTTTTGCCATGTACTATATATCTTTGGGAAATCTAAATCTGTGCCGCACAAAAGTTCAGCATTCTTTTATTTATTTACTTATTTTTAAAAAAAGGGATCATTATCTTTCTCAATTCCATTTATTTTTTCTTTCCTTAAGCTCTTCATATGTTAGCTTGTACCATACTGGCTATGTTTTCAGATTTTTTTTTCTTTTTCTTTTTAACAAATGAGGCGTTAAACAACAAAGGGGTATCATTCTTGTTGATCCTGAGGCCCATAATGTAAAGTTCTGTCCTACAGGAACGATGATGCTAAAAATCATAGCATCATCGACGCTGTATGTCCTCCAGATCAAAACAAGAGCAACTCACAGCTTGTCAGGGACACCAACAGGTTTCCATCAATGGTTGGGTAGAGATAACACCTGCTCTTCCAGATGTGGATAAAATGATTGCTCACAGTTTCACATGTGAAGTGTTTTTGGTTTTTGGAACTTAGTTTCTGTAGAAACATTGGCTGCACTCCTGGATAATTTGGTGTGCCTATCACGTCCTGTATACAAACCGTTTCTGTTTTTCATTTAATAGTTGCGATTTAGTTTTTCTATTCTATGCCGACTGCTGTCTTTTGGAAGAGCCAGAGTGGAAGAACCTCAGTGCTGGTTCTGCTGGACCTCAGTGCAGCCTTTCACACTGCTGACCATGACACTAGAGAGCTGGAAGGACTCTCCAGTCCAGTATTCAGTTGGTTTGAATCTGAGGATAAAACAAAGTGGGAAGATTTGTAGCTACTGACAGCAGATAGTTCAGTCTTCATCTCTCTTATGTGGACTTTCTCTTCATGCCATCCTCCTCCCTTTGGCTTTGCTGTAACATCACTGCCAGTCCTCTGACAGCTTACCAACTTATTGGCATATTTCTTCTGATTAACAACCTTTTCATACATGCAATGTTTTCATACTCCATGAAGACAATGTGCTCTACAGCTAATCAATTATTGTGCCTTCATCTGTTGTTATGTATTCTGTCATTATTGCCTTTTTATTATTATTATGAAGAAGGCTGTTACTTTGCTGAGTATAATGTGTACATAGAGTTGAATCTTTATTTTAAAACTCTTTATATTTGCTGGGGAGTTAATTGGCAGACTGGGAGGATCACGTTTATGGAACCAGTTACTAGAAAAGGAAGTTTTGGTAATATCCCCAAAAGAACACATTAAGCTGACCGTTTCCTTTTTTGAAAACAAAGGAACTCAATTACAACTTTCACACTGTAAGAGAAAAACCCAAAAGGTTTAGTTTTTATGTTCATTGTCTGGAGAATTCTGAA